TTAGGGAAATATTTTGAATGAATAATAATTGGACTTAACTGGCTGTAGTCATGAAGGATCGAGGTGGTACGATATCGCCTGTAGTCTTACTACGTTTCCTGCGTCTATTGATGTGCTCCGTGGATATACATGAACACCCCTCCAAGCTGTTTGTGAAAAGTATGCCACGAGAACCATTTCATCCAGTTTCTTGATATCCAACTGGAGGAATGAAAATTAAGTCCGCAGCATGGTGGCGGGTGCAAGCAATCGGTTTGGTGCTTGGCCTTGTAGAAATTCTTGAAGTCAAGAGTACCATCCGCGCATTTGTCACATCTCTTTTTTCAGGTTAAATGTTTTCCGATTTGATCTATCAAAGACTGTTGCAAGAGTCTCCCTTTCTTTCCCGCCCCTCTCTCTCTCGCGTTTCCTTCCGCGTGTGTCGGGCTCGCGCTTCAGCGACTTCTCACGTTTAGCCTGTTCCAGGTGTTCGGAACGTAGAGTGTGACGCGAAGTAAGAAAAGGCGGTGGAAAAGAGGGAGAGGGTGAGAGAGGAGGGAACGACTGTGAGATTGCTTTTCAAATGGTCATTCCGCCCACTTTGTCGGCTAGTAATCCGACCTTACTTTCCGGTGTTAAAAGTTGTCATCAAGCAAAGGGTAACAGACTTACTAAATTATTTTTTTAAAACAATATGTATGTATTCCGAATAAAATCTTTTAGAATTGTTTTCTGAAAACTGATACATGTATATCCTTCAACTCTAAAGATGAAAGAACTGGCAAGTAACACTCGTTCCACTTTCTCTGCCGGTGATTTTCACTCAGACCGTAGACGAGCTGCCGTCGGTTTTTTTTTTGTTGTTGGTATTATTGAAATGCTGTTTGAATTTGTTTGTCGGTAAAAGCATCCCCGCGTAGCTTTGGGTGAGACTTGTGTTAAGCGAATAGAGATCTCCAAATTTCAAAATACAGGGCACGCCCCGAGACTAACCTATTTGTACCTTTCCACAAAATCGGTTCTTAAATTAAAATATCCCGGTAAATGTTTTGACAGCCAGCTTCAGGGCAAAAGCAACTGCGTTTACTTTCTGAATTCATGGCAGATTGGTCCACGCTTTTCCTATTCAATGTAGTAGCGACTCCTGAAGAGAAGTGAAACAAACAAGCTCGCTAAAAGTCAATAAATGGTGAACTTTCAAGGCCCTACTTTCCAGTAACGGGATCCTGCCTCAAAACGTTTTTTCCTGTTTTCGAGGATGATATTCCCCATTAACTGTGTTGTTTATTTTGAATCACTTCACCACGCATCAAGATGAACTGATGTGAAATCGCATTGCTAGCGCATCACATTTCCAGTCAACGTAATGAACCTCCGAGTGCTGACAAGAGCTGTCAAAATCGACCAATCAATCTGGTATATTCCTGGTGTACCTGGACAAGCTCTTCTTTAAAAAAAAGGTACCACAGGCTTTCCCTCATCGCTCTCACCCGTACCCCAACCCCTCACTGTTCATATAAACACCAATGAAATACCAGGTGAGCTTTCGCGCGAAAACTTGATATCTTCACATGAAAATATCACCGTTGGTATGGCTACATAATAAATCGCGCCTTCCACACCAAAAAACTATCAAAGTGAAATGGTTTGGTATTTCATTGGTGTTTATATAATAAATAGAACATTACATGGCCGCTTGGAGATACGAACGCTCACTCGTGAAATATTTTTTTCAACACAAGAAGAGAAATTTCGCATCTCCAAGCGGCCATGTAATATCCTCCATGTCCACTTTATTTCAACAGATGAATCTTTAAGGCTTCCCAGGGGACAGAAGGTATGGCAGAACAACACCCAGTCACGAATTCCCGCCTACAGACTTTATAAATAACAATCATCCTTACTTTTAGCTGACTTTCTTTGCCTTGGAGGATTTGGGACCACAAAATCAGCAACGACTGGGGTGAAACGTCGCTGAAAAATAACTATGTGTTTTTTTTCAAAGCCTTAGTGCATTTATTTAGACTGGGCCGGGGTTTCTGGATGACTGAGCACCTACCCATCCCTTAAGTCAACATTAACACCAACAACAACAACTTTATTGACTTTATCTTCGACAGGAAGATTTCAGTACCAAAACAATGACAAATGAAAAAAGTAAAATAAAAGTTAAGTAAGAAAGAAAGGAACAATTGAATATTATCATAAAAGAAAAATTACTTGGCTATGTACGGCCTCTACGCTACTCGCATGGTAAGAAAGTTTAATTAGAGTTCGGATGCATAACACTTACATCTCCCTTACTTACATAACCCTTACTTACATAACACTTACAGATCTCCCTTAGAGCAAAGTTGTGATTTAGGGGAGGGGTAGCTGCTCAGCTACCCAACCTCAATTGATCCAATTTTTTGGTATAATTAATTATGCCTTGTTGCATGCTCGCAGTTCGTTAGCTTTTAGACGTTGCTTAGCAAAGGCAAATAGTAGACTGGGGGCATTTAAATCTCCTAAAATAGTGAAGAAGAGGAAACTTTTGTGCCCAGCGCTATTCCGCAGTGAAATAAATACAAAACCCGGAGGAAAATTGGTCTCCATCGGTTAGGTCAATAAAACGTAAACTCGAAGTAGATTAGGAATCGAAGAAGTGAAAGGCTGTTCAAAATTTCTGAAGGGATGTAATGAAGCCGGACGTCTGCTACTTTTAACATGTGGGAACAATTTTTCATGCTAAATCGATTACTTTCGTGGAAATTTTGGAGACATAAATTGTAAATTAAGTTTAAATTGGTTTAGAGGTGGAATTTTATGTCGTCAGAAGCAGTAAAATTGAATTACAATTTATTACAACGAGTGTAGAAGGCCTAAATGTAATAAACGGTCCTAAATGTAATAAAGTCCTAAATGTAATAACATTTTGTCCTAAATGTAATAAAGTCCTAAATGTAATAACAATTTGCCCTAAATGTAATAAACTCAAGCTGCCAACGACAGTAATTACTAGAATAAGCCCAGCCCTCAAATAAGCGCCGCATGTGGCGCCGCGGCGCTTATTCGAGTAAATACGTTACTAAGCGGTATTGCTATGGTATTAAGCTCCGCTCTCAAATAAGCGCCGCATTTTTGGAGAAAAAGTTAATAAGCGCCGCGGTGCTAATTCGCGTAAATTCGGTACATTTCCTAATAAGTCGGCACTTCAACAAAAACTGCAAAAAGTGAAAAACGGATTAATGCCTTTTGTCACACAGTACAATCCATCAGTGCCTAACCTTAAAAATATTTTAATGAGCAAGTGGCATTTAATCGAAAACCAACCAATGCTGAGAGAAATATACAGAGAACCACCTCTCATCTCCTACAGGAGAGGAAAATCTCTAAAAGACATACTTGTTAGAGCTAAACTCTTAAGGTCAAAGACCTATTACATCACGAAACAGCGGGAGTCGTGTTTAGCCTGTCAACCCCTTTTAACCGCTTATTTGAGGGCGGCCCTTATGCGTGTAAATATGGTAATTGGTAATGTACCGTCTTTACGCGCGCGAATAAGCTCAGCGGCGCTTATTAACTTTTTATCCCAATTGCTGCGCTTGTTTTAGAGAGATGCTTATTCGCATAAATACAGTAATTGGTATCTTAAGAGTTTATTACATTTAGGGCAAAATGTTATTACATTTAGCACTTTATTCTTTATTCGATCTTGACAGTTATGCAAACCTGAGACGACGTCGAGGGTTTGCATAACTGTCTCGAATTCTCCCAACCCCTCGAGTGTTTATATCAGGCTATTCAAACTGACAGGAAAAAAGTTTTCTATCGCTTAAATATTGCTTTTTTTTAGAAAAATACTGTTACTTTGCCGTTTACAAGCAATTTATTTGTAAACGTTAAGTTTCACAGTGCAGAAGGAAATGTACCGAATTTACGCGAATTAGCGCCGCGGCGCTTATTAACTTTTTCTCCAAAAATGCGGCGCTTATTTGAGAGCGGAGCTTAATACCATAGCAATACCGCTTAGTACCGTATTTATTCGAGTAATTACTGTAATTGGCAGCTTGAGAGTTTATTACATTTAGGCAGGAGCCCATTTGATGGGCTCCTGATTTAGGGCAAATTGTTATTACATTTATAATGGTAATTGAACTAAGTGGAGTGCAATTTGGTCTGAAATCATACGCGTGATTTCAAAATCGAACGAGCGCGCAGCGCGAGTTTGATTTGAAATCACAAGTATGATTTCAGACCAAAATTGCACGACACGAATTTCAATTACCACTTTATTACATCCATTTTGAAATCGCAGAATTTAGTCAGTACTAATATTTTATTGATCGAGTAGCCGGTTTGTTAAAAAGCCGAAACAAAAAGGCTTTTACATCTCATTTTGTATTCGAAACAGAAATGATGCGATATGTAGAACAAAAATGGTGCGAATTAAAATAGAAATGATGCGATTTAGAACATGAATGACGCGATTTGGAACAGATGCGATTTAGCGCAAAAAATGGTGTGATTTAGGAATAAATCACACTGCTGAGAGCCAATCAGATTGCACGGATAGCCAGTGATTTCAAAGTGGATGTAATAAAGGACTTTATTACATTTAGGACAAAATGTTATTACATTTAGGACTTTATTACATTTAGGACCGTTTATTACATTTAGGCCTTCTACAACGAGAACTCTTCTGAAAATTAATTTCCATTAACTTTTTCGTTTTTGAATTTGTTTGGATAAAATCCCTCAGTCGAGAGATTTATCTGTATAAAAATACCTCAAACGAGGGATTTTACAGATAAATTCATAATTTATTTTTAGCTATGAATTCAATTCATCAGCCCCGCTCTTCCCTGCTACGTTGTCAAGTCCTCCCCGGACTTTCAGTTTGTTGAATATTCAAAAGAGTTTTCACGTTAAATATGTAGGTTGTTGAATAACAAAAGAAAAGGTGTGTATCAAGAAATACTGAAACGAGATAAAACACGACTGACAGTCACCGAGGATAGAGGTGCAGTGGTATTTGTCGGAGAAAAGAATTGAAAGAACCTTGCAGTGTCTGTGGCTTATACATGCAGGTATGTACGCTATCCAACGTCTTTTTCGGATTGCATTAATTGCTTCTGTTTTCTACCAGAATCACCTTTATTAAAGAATTCAGCGACTTGAATAATTGAATTAATATAACTGAATGTCATAGTAGAAACCTGTGCTTGGTGGTCAGGCCGGGTGACCATCCTTCCCCATAAGGATCTTTACTCCGTTAGCTAGTACTGAACTAAAGATTACGGACTGCGGGCGACAATGATCGAAGGTCACAACGCTGTTGCTCCATCGCTTTGCTTTGCTTCTTGGTCGTCGGCCTCAAATCAAACGAATTTCTCTTCGAAATTTCTTGTCTTTAATGTAAAACTTAGAAAGCGTCTTAGGATGCAAGTGCCGACAAAATAGAAGGAATTCAAGGATGAACTTAAGAAAATCTTATGTGTGGAAAACTTATACAAATCAATCGCAGTTAATAAAGTCGAAGTAGCTTCCATCCGAGTAATAATTTTCAAATCAATGGTTTAGTGTCCCTTTTTTTTCTTTTTTTCAAATCACTGGTTTAATGTCCCTTTTGCAGTCGGAAGACTGAATTGTCGGATACCTTACAAGCTGTGATAAATATACAAATACGCTACATTGATTCACAAGATTAATATTTAACACTAACAAAATTTGAGAAACGTTCAGTCCTTGTGGCCATGGGCCTGCTAGAACTCCCTGATCTTAGACACACACTGGTAGATATAGGTACCACTCTGTTGTGTATTAGTGGGTATAGTGGGTTACCTGGCCCAACCTTGCCCATAAATTTCATACACGAGACTGTGTGAATCTTATTTAAAGTATGTTCATTATATTATTCCTAAATCGTGGTGACATCGAGGAGAGGCGGTGCAGGGCTGTGCAGAGGAAGAAAGTTAATTAATTTCGTCGGCTAAACTATAGCCTAATAACTAAACGTTATTAAGATTAAAACCAACGATATAACATAGTTTGAAGGAATACGGCCGTATTAAACGGGTTGGTTTCGTTCCGTTTTTAGTCTAGCAGAAATGTCAATTTGTCGCTAAGAATTGAAATTTGTGCTCAACAAATGTTCAATACGAAAGCGTAAGTCTCTTCAATAGTAGCACAAGAGGGGCTCGAATCCAGATTGAAAATCTTTGAATTTGATTAAAATTCTTAGAAGACATTTAATCAAACTCAAGGAAACTGAACTCAGGCAGAAATTTCGTAACTGAATCGTGAGAGAATTCACGGCTCATTTAATACGCATGCAAGTATAATAATAAAAA